AATCCTTGACCTTTGTTGCGTGGCCAAGAAAACTGACCTCTTTACCTGAAGAACAGAACAGGTAGTAAATAAAAAGGATAAAATAACTACTTGACCTGTCATCTAAGACAAAGTTCTGTTGACCTCTGGTCTGACACTGAATACTGTTGACCTCTGGTCTGAAATTTAGTACTGTTGACCTCTGGTCTGAAACTTAGCACTGTTGACCTCTTGTCTGACACTTAATACTGTTGACCTCTGGTCTGACACTAAGTACTGTTGATTCTCTGGTCTGACAATGAATACTGTTGACCTGTGGTCTGAAACTTAGTTCTGTTGACCCTCTGGTCTGAGACTAAGTACTGTTGACTTCTGGACTAAGACTAAGTACTGTTGACCTCTGGTCTGAGACTAAGTACTGTTGACCTCTGGTCTGACACTAAGTACTGTTGACCCTCTGGTCTGAGACTAAGTACTGTTGACCTCTAGTCTGACACTAAGTACTGTTGACCTCTAGTCTGACACTAAGTACTGTTGACCCTCTGGTCTGAGACTAAGTACTGTTGACCTCTGGTCTGACACTAAGTACTGTTGACCTCTGGTCTGAAACTAAGTACTGTTGACCTCTGGTCTGACACTAAGTACTGTTGACCTCTGGTCTGAAACTAAGTACTGTTGACCTCTGGTCTGACATTAAGTACTGTTGACCTCTGGTCTGACACTAAGTACTGTTGACCTCTGGTCTGACACTAAGTACTGTTGACCTCTAGTCTGACACTAAGTACTGTTGACCTCTGGTCTGACATTAAGTACTGTTGACCTCTGGTCTGACACTAAGTACTGTTGACCTCTGGTCTGACACTAAGTACTGTTGACCTCTAGTCTGACACTAAGTACTGTTGACCTCTATCAAAACAAAAGACTCATTATTCCTCCTGTTTCTGTTCTACATATGTCAAAGGATAATATTGAGGTTGAACCCAGGCATTGACTGTAATTCAAGTGATCAATATTTCTACAGGAATGTTAATTTCCCATCAAGATTCCAATAGGGCTCAAACTCCTCTACAGTTCTCAAGTCAATTTATTATGTGTCACACCTGCTTTGACTCAATGTTGTTTGGGAAATTCTTCAAATAAGTTTGCTCAGTAATACAGGATTCTTGCAGTTCTCCTACACTAAATTAACTATTAAACTCCGACCTCTATTAGGCCTCACTTTATCACCATGTCAACAGTGAATGGGTGACATCACCTCTTGATGATTAAAACCACAACAAATTCGCAATATTAAAATACAAATCACTCTTTAAAATTTTCAGGAAACCAAGAGACAAAAGAAAATGAGTGTGAAGTATAACAATAAGGAGGATGACCCTGGTTTGTTTCGGTTGACCTTTGCTGTTATATATTTAGAAAGAAATTAATTTTTAAAAAAACTAGTCGTTAAAAAAAATGTCTATGATTTCTGAGTCCATATTTAAATTACATAGGGTCAATTCAGACACGTGTTGGTCTAATTCTGTCTCAGTGTGTCAATTAAATTGAATATACAAATTTCAGAAATACAACAATTACGAATTCAAACACGCAACAAAAGAATTTTGCCAGTAAGAAATGAAATATCAACATAACACTTGTTTCAACACTGGATCTGTTCAGTATTTATTATAATTAAACATGTGTAAGAGCTATTACTTCTGGTCATTTATTCTTAATAAGAATGAATTTGTGAATCAATGATTGTTAAACTACAACACCTAAACTCACAGCACCATGACAACTTTTTTCACTGGGTGTAATAGTCAGCATGCATACAGAAATACCTAGAAATCACATGGGGATTTTTTGTTTCTGTGATGAACCCATAACCTTGTATACATATAATTTTTCTTTAACCTATATCCTAATATATATGTAAAATATCTTTTCCATTTCAAGGTCACTAGACCAAAGGTCATGATATTCTATATTGATTGTCCCCTCGTAATCATCATGTGTTAATTTTTGGTTTTAAATGAACTCAATAACATGCATAATATGCATGGATTTTGATGAATTTTGGTCCACAGCCTTCTATCAGTAAGATCTAGGATGAGTTGGACTATGGGATCAATTTCAATTATAACTTAATTACAGAGTTATGGCCCTTTGTAATTTTACCACTGTGGACCTTGAGAACATGATATCTGGATTAAATATGTACAGACTTTGATGAAACTTGATCTGCTGCCTTCTATCAATAAGATCTAGAATGAGTTAGAAAAATGGGACCAATTCCACTGTAACTTACAGAGTTATGGCCCTTTGTAAATTTATTATCATTTGACCTTGTGAATATAAAAACTTCACATATGAACATATTTTGATGAAACTTCGGATACAGCCTCACATCAGTAAGATCTTGGATGAGTTTGACAATGGCACTGATTTAATTGAGAAAATTTGAATGAATTGTGAGGAAACTTTATATGCAGCCTTGTACTCTTATAACCTTGGATGAGTACAGCAATGGGACTAGACCCAGTGTTATGGCTCTTTGGAGTTTAATTTCCACTAAGATTAGTCGGGTTGATTGTTTAGGCCAGTATGCATCTTTTTTTCTGAAGAAATAGATGCAAGTTCTTTAAGTCTGTTTAGGACAGCTTCAGCATCCAAATCACCATTTACAGGTTGACAGGGAGGTAGGACACAATCATGCTACCTGTTCATTGTAAACAATAAAGATTAAGAAATAAAATCAGCATCATTGTCATTTTCAATTACAGGAAAGTGGATTCTTCATCACATATTTAACTCTACAAATCTGTTATAATCCACATCACATATTTACCTCTACAAACCTGTTATAATCCACATCACATATTTACCTCTACAAACCTGTTATAATCCACATCACATATTTAACTCTACAAACCTGTTATAATCCACATCACATATTTAACTCTACAAACCTGTTATAATCCACGTCACATATTTAACTCTACAAACCTGTTATAATCCACATCACATATTTAACTCTACAAACCTGTTATAATCCACATCACATATTTAACTCTACAAACTTGTTATAATCCACATCACATATTTAACTCTACAAACCTGTTATAATCCACGTCATGTCTACAAATTTATAAAAATTTGAGTCACGTATAAACTACAAAGCAGTATATATATCAGTCGAGTAAATCAGTAAAAAGGAAATTATTTTTTTATATTGATAAACTTCCATGTGAGTTGAGTGTGGTAATAAGCTTTTTATGAGTGGAGATGCAGAGCCTAATGCCGGTGATGATAGGGTGACCTTGCTTCAGGTAGATCATTGTGGGAAATGAGGCGTGCCAGTCATTGGCTGCGAGTTTACAATCACATTGATCACTCGGTGAACCTCGGGGAGTTGCAGTTTTTTGCCGTCATGTTTAAAACATTTACACTAGTTTATACCTGGTGTAATGAAGCCCTAGAGGCAGTTTACCAGGAGCATTTGTAGTCTATGCGTCCATGTACTGGCAATGGAATAAAAATTCAATTTATTTTACAACTACCTTAGCTTGGAACAAGTTATTTCTTCATTACTTCACCTCTGTAGAATGAAAAAAAAAACAGCTTTGTTTCACCCAATAAATGTGCACACAAGCAACAAAAACGCATAACGAATACAACAATTTTCAATGTAAAATTTTCTGGTGTTAAGTCATGCTAGCCTGTTAAAAACCTAACAATTTTTATTAAAAGAAGATCTTACCACCAAGTGTACGTAAGGCAAACTGGTGAAGAACTGAATGTAATATTGGTAATTTAGTGAAGATGTTACTATAAATAGACCAATGTTACTATAAATAGATTATGATTAATTACTTATCGGTGTTTACAGAGGGCAAAAATGCTACCAATAAAGTGTTTCAGTAGTTTTAATATTGTCGAGTTCTTATTGCGATATGAAGTGTCTGTTGTAATTCTATCTTTTCACTTTTTGCTTTTACTTTCAAAACACAGAAATAAAACAAGGTCACCAACAAATTAAATTACCAGGATGCTCCACACTGTAAATATTAGAGATGAAAAATTTATTTACTTTTTTTTCACAATCAAGTATGTTGCACTGTGATATTGGTTTCACTTTTAATGTTTTTCTATTGATTTTGTTCCATATAATCACGTTATCTTGTGAAATCCGGGATGAAACTCGTAACACACGTGTATGATATCATTTTCATAGACGTCCTAGTTTTACAATAGATTTAATTTTAATTTCCTTTTTACTTTAAACTTTTTGTAAATTGTAAAAGGTGATTAATCGGTTCATTGTTCAGGTTTGACAATTATTACGAAACATTTCAGACATTGTTGGAAAATGTCTTTAGGCCTAATAAAGGTAAGATAACTTCTTATAGTTGGCCTGTTTTCAGGTGAATACTATGATTAATCAACATGTGGAAATTATATTTCAGAGACCAAAGAATGTCTGGCAATTATTCCTGAAAAAACTGGCTTTCAGATAGCATTTTTGTTTAGTCAAAAAAAACTATAGTAAACAATCTATAATTGAACGAATTATTGTGAGAGCTTTTTACTTGAAACAAGCTATCCACTTCTATCTAACAAGAGCAATACTGTCAAAATGTATCAATCATGCTGCTATAAATAGACTGATCATGATGTTACTATTAATAAACTGATGCTTCAATAAATAGACTCTGATGATACAGAGAACTTGTTAAAGTGAAGTTGGAGCATGGCATTGTCACCCACTTTGATGTTGCTATAAATAGACTGATGTTACTATAAATAGATTGATGTTACTATAAATAGACTGATGTTTTTATAAATAGACTGGTGATATTACAAATAGACTGATGTTACTATGAATAGACAGAATAACATTTGTTACAAAGTGAGTATGGAGTTGGAGCATTGTTTTCAGCAAACGACTACCAAATGTGATCATACTTTCAATAGACTGGGATCTTTTTTTAATAAATAGGCAGTAATTATATAGAATCATGTTCGTTACAGGGAGTATGGAGTTGGAGGCTGGTGTAGTTGTCATTCCCGGACCACCTACTGTGATTGTACAGAGACGAAGTCCACTTCGCCTCAACTGCTCCGCTTTCTCTACTGTTGGATTTGGACCAACTTCTTACAGATGGACAAGAAATAGACAAGAGGTCACATTAAATAAACGAATCCAGTTGGCTGAAAATGGTTCTCTCTATTTCCAACATTTAAAGCGTCGAAAACGTCCGAGTCGGAGCGATGAGGGAATGTACGAATGTTTCCTTAACAACAGCAAGGGAGTTGTGATAGGACGACAAGTGCTCGTCAAAGTGGCAAGTAAGTACCCAATTGTGTTTCATCTCATTTAGTCCTGTAATACCAAACAACTCTGCCCTGTGATATACCCTGGATCTAACTGTTAAACAGGCCACTTGTGTCCGAAACCAAGTTCAATATCATCCTGTGGTAGGACACCACCTCTCAGAAACTCTCATTGATAAATTGATTCCAACTTGTTAGGGCAGTTTTGCAAATGTAGAAATGCTCACAGAGATAAAATCCTGAAATTTAGCAGTGCTCACATTCAGGGCCAGTACCCTAAAGTTCAACAGTGCTCACTTTCAGGGCCAGTACCCTAATGTTCAGCAGTGCTCACTTTCAGGGCCAGTACCCTAATGTTCAACAGTGCTCACTTTCAGGGCCAGTACCCTAATGTTCAGCAGTGCTCACTTTTAGGGCCAGTACCCTTATGTTCAGAAGTACTCACTTTCAGGGCCAGTACCCTAATGTTCAGCAGTACTCACTTTCAGGGCCAGTACCCTAATGTTCAGCAGTACTCACTTTCAGGGCCAGTACCCACTTTCAGGGCCAGTACCCTAATGTTCAGCAATCCTCACTTTCAGGGCCAGTACCCTAAAGTTCAACAGTGCTCACTTTCAGGGCCGGTACTTTAATGTTCAGCAGTGCTCACTTTCAGGGCCAGTACCCTAATGTTCAGCAGTGCTCACTTTCAGGGCCAGTACCCTAATGTTCAGCAGTACTCACTTTCAGGGCCAGTACCCTAATGTTCAGCAGTACTCACTTTCAGGGCCAGTACCCTAAAGTTCAACAGTGCTCACTTTCAGGGCCGGTACTTTAATGTTCAGCAATGCTCACTTTCAGGGCCAGTACCCTAATGTTCAGCAATCCTCACTTTCAGGGCCAGTACCCTAAAGTTCAACAGTGCTCACTTTCAGGGCCGGTACTTTAATGTTCAGAAATGCTCACTTGCAGGGCCAGTACCCTAATGTTCAGCAGTGCTCACTTTCAGGGCCAGTACCCTTATGTTCAGCAGTACTCACTTTCAGGGCCAGTACCCTAATGTTCAGCAGTACTCACTTTCAGGGCCGGTACCCTAATGTTCAGCAGTACTCACTTTCAGGGCCAGTACCCTAATGTTCAGCAGTACTCACATTCAGGGCCAGTACCCTAATGTTCAGCAGTACTCACTTTCAGGGCCAGTACCCTAATGTTCAGCAGTACTCACTTTCAGGGCCAGTACCCTAATGTTCAGCAGTACTCACTTTCAGGGCCAGTACCCTAATGTTCAGCAGTACTCACTTTCAGGGCTGGTACCCTAATGTTCAACAGTGCTCACTTTCAGGGCCAGTACCCTAATGTTCAGCAGTACTCACTTTCAGGGCTGGTACCCTAATGTTCAACAGTGCTCACTTTCAGGGCCAGTAACCTAAAGTTCAGCAGTCCTCACTTTCAGGGTCAGTACCCTAAAGTTCAGTAGTGGTTACTTTCAGGGCCAGTACCCTAAAGTTCAGTAGTGCTTACTTTCAGGGCCAGTACCGTAATGTTCAGTAATGCTCACTTGTGTTATTACGAAATTGCTTACCGTAAAGCAGGTTCTTAACAATTCCAGTTCTATTGCGGGCCCTTCAGACCTCTTGTTACAATATGAATATTTTGTGTACAGTGATAACAGGCCTTCAGACCTGTTGGTACTATATGAGTGTAGAGATTACAGGTCATTCAGACCTGTTGGTACTATATGAGTGTGGTGACTACAGGCCCTTCAGCCCAGTTGCTACTATGTGAGTGTAGTGATTACAGGCCCTTCAGACCTATTGCTACTATATGAGTGTGGTGAGTACAGGCCCTTCAGACCTGTTGCTACTGTATGAGTGTAGTGACTACAGGCCCTTCAGACCTGTTGCTACAAAATCCCTGTATATTCATCTGTTATAAATATAACTCCTTCAGTTGTATGTGGTGTATATAAGATGCACAGTGGTTGGCTGTGATTGGCTGTTTGTATTACACAGGTATCAATAGTTTTTTTTCTGTCTAAAGTACAACCTGAGTCTGGGGGAGTAGAAAGTCACTTCAGCAGAACAAATTGCATATCGCTTTCATCAGAAAATAGTTCTTTAATGACTGCATAAAACCAGAGTTATTTTTTAACCTTGTGCTGGTATATGGCTTCCTTGTATCTGTCCTCCCGTGTGTCTCATTCATCCTGTGTCAAATTTTCCCTTAAAACAACTTCTTTAGAATGCTGGGATGAAGGGCTACCAAATTAATTCAAGTGAAAGACCTGAGCCCACTTTCAAGGTCACAGGGGTCAAATGTGTTAAAATCTTCAAAAGATTTCTTCTAATTTCTAGCCAGATGGCCCAGAGCACTGATATTGGGTCTGTAACATGCTGCTTTTTTTTTCAAATGAATGACTTTGAACTGTTTTCAAAGTCACAGAAGTAAACTATTTTGAATTCTCCAAACAACTCATCTGTAACCTATAGTATCAGGGTCTTGGTATTTGTGTAGTTTGCTTTGTAGGTGGGTTTTCAAATTCACAGAAATTGGCTTACTAGACTAACGAGGTCTTCTTAAGTTGGGAGAACCTGTAGGTGATTCATACCTATTGGGCCTCTTGTTAATTTATAACATTTTTCTTACAAACACAGATTTAAGTAGCTAAAATTCACTGAAATTATGTTGTTCATAAAAATATGAAATATTGCACTCCGTTATACTTTATATCTTAATTAATAAGTCACTTTTGTAAGTTTAAAAAAAAAAAGAGAAAAATAACCTGTTTTTTTTTAGATAAAATCTAAAATGCTTTTCGTTTTTTTTCTCTATTGATAAATTAAGTAATAAACATCGCATTAATCGCCTACAGCCCCTTTGGTGTCCAGTTTTATTCACTAAGCCTTGAAGATGACGGTGGTATATATGTATGTATTTCTTAGTGGGGAATGGGCTTTAGGAAGATTTTCCTTTTAAGGTTAATGGAGTACAAATTAAGACCTCTATAAATAGCCATGTAGTTTCTCTTTCTTTACATAGTGTCATGAATCCTGGCTGTAAATCATTATATAGAACTTCCTAGACTTTATCTGTACATTCCAAGGCCCCAGAAGAGTACAGTACTAGCCTTCTGATAACAACACTAACCCAACACTTATCATGGTTGTTATATCTGATGGACATTTTCTGAAATCTAGTTACTATCAAATAGATAATAGAGGATTGATGGATAAATTAACCACCCAGTTAGTATTTAGTAATCAATTTTTTCCCCACGTGTTGAAAAGTTAGTGTTAAAAATATCCCATAAAACCTTCAGATGGGTTCACTTCTTTTTCACTGCATAGTATCATTATTTTACACCTGATCAGGTCACTGTGACTGATAGGTGATGACATCGGATGGTTTTATCACTGTCCCTCCAACTCTGGGTTCCGGGTGTGAGGCCAGCAACTTTAAATGTCCCTGACTGTCAATAGGGCATATAGCATCAATAAACTTGATCAGATTTCGGTGGTCATGTGACAAGGGTCAAAGTTCAAAGATCAAACCAGGATCTTTTGAAAGAAAAATAAGGAAGTGAGTATAAATAGCTATGTCTATGTGAGTCCCTGCTAAATCTTGATTTGTGTCTAAAGGAATAAGGCATGTTGATGTCTCCTTCACATCAACTTGGTTAACATTAAGACAACAGATGGGGAGGGATTATTGTACAAATTAGAAGACAATAAGCTAAGAGATGGGGAGGGATTATTGCACAAAAAATAAGAGACAATAAGTTAAGAGATGGGGAGGGATTATTGTACAAATTAGAAGACAATAAGCTAAGAGATGGGGAGGGATTATTGTACAAATTAGTAGACAATAAGCTAAGCGATGGGGAGGGATTATTGTACAAATTAGAACACAATAAGCTAAGAGATGGGGAGGGATTATTGTACAAATTAGAAGACAATAAGCTAAGAGATGGGGAGGGATTATTGTACAAATTAGAAGACAATAAGCTAAGAGATGGGGAGGGATTATTGTACAAATTAGAAGACAATAAGCTAACAGATGGGGAGGGATTATTGTACAAATTAGAAGACAATAAGCTAAGAGATGGGGAGGGATTATTGTACAAAAAATAAGAGACAATAAGCTAAGAGATGGGGAGGGATTATTGTACAAATTAGAAGACAATAAGCTAAGAGATGGGGAGGGATTATTGTACAAATTAGAACACAATAAGTTAACAGATAGGAAGATGGTAGTGTACAAATCAAGACATTAAGCCAACAGATTGGGAGGGGGCTATTGTACAAATTAAAATACTGTGGGCTGGTTGATTGAATTCATGTAGGACACTGAAAACAGGATTGGTTTTTGTAAATAATAAATAGCAAGTTAGGACTTGGTGCCAAGCATGGGCTTATTACTGGATAAACAGTAAGAGTTTTTAGTTATTTTTACCCAACATCTGTTTGTTGTCTCTATTGACTTTCTGGTAGCAGGCGATATGATAAATATTAATATTGTAATTCTAAACAGACAACATGCAAATGATTTTGCTGTAATCCCGCCATTTTGTATTATTGATCATTTCATGCTATGTTCATTGTGCGAGTCGTAAGAAGAGGGCACCATCGATCTCACCTCGGATTCAAGGTATCCTTCAAGCTTGATATCAATGCCAAGTTGTACATATAATTTGCATATGATGGAAGGAATGGATGTAACCAACATTGATTTGTGTCTGACCGTCCTCAAACAGTCTGCCATTACATCAGGTTTTGTGGCCGAGTTTTGTCTGAAATATCTCAAGAAATCCAGATGCCATATTTCCAGATAATAGGTCTCCAATAATCCAACGTATATTTTGTCCCCAATAAAATTCTGAACTGAATGTCAAAGGTTACTCACAAGTCATTCATCCATGAAATGTCTTCCTTCAACCTTATTAATAAACAAAAACAATGTGTCTGAAATATGTCAGATGATGTGTTATTTATCAGTAATTAGTCACCACTAACCTGGTGTCCCACTCTCCAGTCACCACTAACCTGGTGTCCCTCTATCCAGTCACCACTAACCTGGTGTCCCTCTCTCCAGTCACTACTAACCTGGTGTCCCTCTATCCTGTCACCACTAACCTGGTGTCCTTCTATCCAGTCACCACTAACCTGGTGTCCCACTCTACAATCACCACTAACTTGGTGTCCCTCTATCCAGTCACTTCTAACCTGGTGTCCCTCTATCCAGTCACCACTAATCTGGTGTCCCTCTATCCAGTCACCACTAACCTGGTGTCCCTCTATCCAGTCACCACTAACCTGGTGTCCCACTTTCCAGTCATTACTAACCTGGTGTCCTCTATCCTGTCATCACTAACCTGGTGTCCTCTATCCAGTCATTACTAACCTGGTGTCCTCTATCCTGTCACCACTAACCTGGTGTCCCTCTATCCAGTCATTACTAACCTGGTGTCCTCTATCCTGTCACCACTAACCTGGTGTCCTCTATCCAGTCACCACTAATCTGATGTCCCTCTATCCAGTCACCGCTAACCTGGTGTCCCACTCTCCAGTCATTACTAACCTGGTGTCCCTCTATCCAGTCACCACTAACCTGATGTCCCTCTATCCAGTCACCACTAACCTGGTGTCCCACTCTCCAGTCATTACTAACCTGGTGTCCCTCTATCCAGTCAACACTAACCTAATGTCCCACTCTCCAGTCACTACTAACCTGGTGTCCTCTATCCAGTCACCACTAACCTGGTGTCCCTCTATCCAGTCACCACTAACCTGGTGTCCCTCTATCCAGTCACCACTAACCTGGTATTTCTCTATCCAGTAACCACTAACCTGGTGTCCCACTCTCCAGTCATTACTAACCTGGTGTCCCTCTATCCAGTCAACACTAACCTAATGTCCCACTCTCCAGTCACTACTAACCTAGTGTCCTCTATCCAGTCACCACTAACCTGGTGTCCCTCTATCCAGTCACCACTAACCTGGTGTCCCACTCTGCAGTCACCACTAAGCTGGTGTCCCTCTATCCAGTCACTACTAACCTGGTGTCCCACTCTCCAATCACCACTAACTTGGTGTCCCTCTATCCAGTCACTTCTAACCTGGTGTCCCTCTATCCAGTCACTACTAACCTGGTGTCCCTCTATCCAGTCACTACTAACCTGGTGTCCTCTATCCTGTCACCACTAACCTGATGTCCCTCTATCCAGTCACCACTAACCGGATGTCCCTCTCTCAAGTCACTACTAACCTGATGTCCCTCTATCCAGTCACTGCTAACCTGGTATCCCTCTATCCAGTAACCACTAACCTGGTGTCCCTCTATCCAGTCACCACTAATCTACTGTCCCACTATCCAGTCATCACTAATCTGCTGTCCCACTATCCAGTCACCACTAATCTACTGTCCCACTATCCAGTCACCACTAATCTACTGTCCCACTATCCAGTCACCACTAATCTACTGTCCCACTATCCAATCATCACTAATCTGCTGTCCCAATATCCAGTCATCACTAATCTACTGTCCCACTATCCAGTCATCACTTATCTACTGTCCCACTATCCAGTCATCACTAATCTGCTGTCCCACTATCCAGTCACCACTAATATACTGTCCCACTATCCAATCACCACTAATCTGCTGTCCCACTATCTAGTCACCACTAATCTACTGTCCCACTATCCAATCACCACTAATCTGCTGTCCCACTATCCAGTCACCACTAATCTACTGTCCCACTATCCAGTCATCACTAATCTACTGTCCCACTATCCAGTCATCACTAATCTACTGTCCCACTATCCAGTCATCACTAATCTGCTGTCCCACTATCCAGTCACCACTAATCTACTGTCCCACTATCCAGTCATCACTAATCTACTGTCCCACTATCCAGTCATCACTAATCTACTGTCCCACTATCCAGTCATCACTAATCTACTGTCCCACTATCCAGTCATCACTAATCTACTGTCCCAATATCCAGTCATCACTAATCTGCTGTCCCACTATCCAGTCACCACTAATCTACTGTCCCACTATCCAGTCATCACTAATCTACTGTCCCAATATCCAGTCATCACTAATCTGCTGTCCCACTATCTAATTGGCACTAATCTGCTGTCCCACTATCCAGTCACCACTAATCTACTGTCCCACTATCCAGTCATCACTAATCTGCTGTCCCACTATCTAATTGGCACTAATCTGCTGTCCCACTATCCAGTCACCACTAATCTACTGTCCCACTATCCAGTCATCACTAATCTGCTGTCCCACTATCCAGTCACCTTGTCCCACTATCCAGTCACACTAATCTGCTGTCCCACTATCCAGTCACCACTAATCTACTGTCCCACTATCCAGTCACCACTAATCTACTGTCCCACTATCCAGTCACCACTAATCACCACTAATCTGTCCCACTATCCAGTCATCACTAATCTACTGTCCCACTATCCAGTCACCACTAATCTACTGTCCCACTATCCAGTCATCACTAATCTGCTGTCCCACTATCTAATTGGCACTAATCTGCTGTCCCACTATCCAGTCACCACTAATCTACTGTCCCACTATCTAATTGGCACTAATCTGCTGTCCCACTATCCAGTCACCACTAATCTACTGTCCCACTATCCAATCACCACTAATCTGCTGTCCCACTATCCAGTCACCACTAATCTACTGTCCCACTATCCAGTCATCACTAATCTACTGTCCCACTATCCAGTCATCACTAATCTACTGTCCCACTATCCAGTCATCACTAATCTGCTGTCCCACTATCCAGTCACCACTAATCTACTGTCCCACTATCCAGTCATCACTAATCTACTGTCCCACTATCCAGTCATCACTAATCTACTGTCCCACTATCCAGTCATCACTAATCTACTGTCCCACTATCCAGTCATCACTAATCTGCTGTCCCACTATCCAGTCACCACTAATCTACTGTCCCACTATCTGCTGTCCCACTATCCAGTCACCACTAATCTACTGTCCCACTATCCAGTCATCACTAATCTGCTGTCCCACTATCTAATTGGCACTAATCTGCTGTCCCACTATCCAGTCACCACTAATCTACAGTCATCACTAATCTACTGTCCCACTATCCAGTCATCACTAATCTGCTGTCCCACTATCCAGTCACCACTAATATACTGTCCCACTATCCAGTCCCAATATCCAGTCATCACTAATCTGCTGTCCCACTATCCAGTCACCACTAATCTACTGTCCCACTATCCAGTCATCACTAATCTGCTGTCCCACTATCCAGTCACCACTAATCTACTGTCCCACTATCCAGTCACCACTAATCTACTGTCCCACTATCTAGTCACCACTAATCTACTGTCCCACTATCCAGTCACCACTAATCTACTGTCCCACTATCCAGTCACCACTAATCTACTGTCCCACTATCCAGTCATCACTTATCTACTGTCCCACTATCCAGTCATCTATCTGCTGTCCCACTATCCAGTCATTACTAATCTGCTGTCCCACTATCCAATTGGCACTAATCTGCTGTCCCACTATCCAGTCATATCACTAACCTGATGTCCCTCTATCCAGTCACTACTAACCTGCTGTCCCAATATTCAATCATCACTAATCTGCTGTCCCACTATCCAGTCATCACTAATCTACTGTCCCACTATCCAATTGGCACTAATCTGCTGTCCCACTATCCAGTCACCACTAATCTACTGTCCCACTATCCAGTCACCACTAATCTACTGTCCCACTATCCAGTCATCACTAATCTGCTGTCCCACTATCCAGTCATCACTAATCTGCTGTCCCACTATCCAGTCATCACTAATCTGCTGTCCCACTATCCAGTCATCACTAATCTGCTGTCCCACTATCTAATTGGCACTAATCTGCTGTCCCACTATCCAGTCCTCACTAATCTGCTGTCCCACTATCTACTCTGTCCCACTATCCAGTCATCACTAATCTGCTGTCCCACTATCCAGTCATCACTAATCTGCTGTCCCACTATCCAGTCATCACTAATCTGCTGTCCCACTATCTAATTGGCACTAATCTACTGTCCCACTATCCAGTCATCACTAATCTACTGTCCCACTATCCAGTCATCACTAATCTACTGTCCCACTATCCAGTCATCACTAATCTGCTGTCCCACTATCCAATAATCACTAATCTGCTGTCCCACTATCCAGTCATCAGTAATCTACTGTCCCACTATCCAGTCATCACTAATCTGCTGTCCCACTATCCAATCATCACTAATCTGCTGTCCCACTATCCAGTCACCACTAATCTGCTGTCCCACTATCCAGTCATCACTAATCTACTGTCCCACTATCCAGTCATCACTAATCTACTGTCCCACTATCCAATCACCACTAATCTGCTGTCCCACTATCCAGTCACCACTAATCTACTGTCCCACTATCCAGTCATCACTAATCTACTGTCCCACTATCCAGTCATCACTAATCTACTGTCCCACTATCCAGTCACCACTAATCTACTGTCCCACTATCCAGTCATCACTAATCTACTGTCCCACTATCCAGTCACCACTAATCTACTGTCCCACTATCCAGTCACCACTAATCTACTGTCCCACTATCCAGTCACCACTAATCTACTGTCCCACTATCCAGTCACCACTAATCTACTGTCCCACTATCCAATCATCACTAATCTGCTGTCCCACTATTCAATCATCACTAATCTGCTGTCCCACTTTCCAGTCACCATCTAACTGCTTGTCTGTTTGTTGATTGGGAAAGTTATTTCCGTTTTTTGTAATGAAAAATTAACCATTCTGTAATTCTGTAATTTCGTTATAATCCTGCCTGGAAATTCATGAGATGGTATGTTAATGCAATTGATTTAAAGTGTTTGATTAAATTTTCCGTTTTTTCAGGAATTGCCAGCAAGTTTACCAAGATGCCTGCTGATCAGGAGACTGTTGTTGAGGGTGTGGCCCGATTTGAATGTAAGATAGAAGCCACACCTCCTCCAGTATATATATGGGAGAAAGATGATTCCAGTCTACCCATCAACAACAGGTAATCTTCATGGCATTTTTGTCCATGTAAAGAGCTAGACAATCAATGTAAAGGACTTGCCTGTCAGTCAACCAAGTAGCAAATGTATTAAGATCAACATTAAGTAATTCCAGTTAAAGAAACCAGGACAGAAATTCTTATTGTCCATACTATCCACTATACAGAGTCAATTTACAGCTGTCAGAATTTTCTATAGACTTAAAGTGACAGTGTGCTTTGTAAATATAGATTTTGATCGGACTATGTCAATCTTTCCATTCTCTGTCTTATTACAGAACTACAACCCTAGCCTCGGGAGTTTTACAGATACATGATGTCCGGGCGGAGGATGCAGGGACCTACCACTGTTCAGCACAACACAGGTTTCAGGACATTGCCAATCTTCAGGAGACGGTCACCTCGATGTCACGTCGTCACAGTGAAGCAGGCATTCTCACTGTAACACATGGTAGGCTACCTAAGGATTTTCAGTAGCTAAGGGGAACAAGAACATTTATTAATCAGAGTATCTTGATAATTGCTGAAAGGAGGCAGAGGTCAATATTGTAATTTGCGTATCATTAATCATCCAAGCTTAAGTGATGATTGTTATTCATTTCCAAAAGAATAACCGAGATTCATTTTGTACTGACTACTTTTCAGGTCAATAAGAATATAAATCCAGCATGTTTTTACTCACAGATCTTAATGGTTATGTTATTGTACTGAGTTATCTCCTCTCTTTCATCAATTTTTTAAGAATATTACAACTGAAATGATGATAGAGTTATCCCCCTTTTTGTATGATTGATTCCTCTGTTTCTGTTACTGTAAATCCAGGGCTGTCTCACCCCAGTTTGGGACTTGGGCCCGGGGCCCTTAGAATTGGGAAAAATAGCAGCGTTTTTCTTAGAATTGGGAAAAATAGCGGCTTTTTCCTTAGAATTGGGAAAAATAACGGCGTTTTCCTTAGAATTGGGAAAACTTGGGGTCTAAATTAGGAAAAAAAGATACTTTTTTTATATCGGCCCCAAATCTGGCAGATCGAGAGCCCTGAAATCACTTACATTTTGAGTGGGATTTATTTTTGCATTAATATACAAGGAGCCCCAATTGCAAATTGAAAATTTCTTGAATTATTTGTACGAAACTGTGGATGACATTTTATTATCTGTTGTAAACTTTCTTTAACTGACACTTCAATTAAATCTATACATACCATATATTATCACAAAGAAATCTGCTAGATTTACATCACTTGGGAATTCAAACATCTATAGAACTCACAACTTTTAAATGACTTCCCTGTGTTGCTCTCTGTAGAACTTCACAGAATGGCATCATTGAAAAGTGCAGCTACAGGTCAGAGGTCGGAGGTCAAGCATGTGTGTGACAATAGATATAATTGTAAATCGCTGATGACATTTAAGTGTCAGAAAGGTGTTCAAATATTTACATTAACATAGTTCATAACAAAATATCAATTTTATTGGATTACAATATAAACAGCAGGAAACCCTGGAAAACGTTTAATTAGTGTGAAAATTTGTAACATTAGACACTGCACAAACACACCTGGCCTATTAAAGTCCTGTTCTATTACATTACAACAGCTCACCCTACTCTCCAAACGTGTCTAATAGCTCATCATTAGAGAATTAGAAGTCATTTCTAGAGCAGCTTTTGCGAAATCATGTATTCATGAATATAATCTGAAGCAGTTAGTTTATGAAATAAAATATTAGGGAAATCTAAGTGGTATAATACTAGTGCTACTTACAGTATCTGTTCACCTCTGTAGAGCCACATGAGACTTAGGTATAAAGGTAATATTATACATAATGATCTCCATGACAGTGATAAACCAGGTAACACCTTTTGGTAATTCTCTGTTCTAACAAACTTTTTCATGGTATTGTAAAATGACATTTTAAAGACATTTCAATTATATATCATTAGTTTTCTTGTTCATTTTCAGACCAAGCTCCCAGACCTCCAAAGATTGTGTATGCAACAGATGAAGTCATCGCTAATAGCAAGGAGTCCGTCACTTTGGAATGTTTGGTGGATGGTTATCCTAAGCCCAGTGTCAGATGGCTTACACAAAGTAAATAGCATATCTTGTTAAAAGATTTCAATGTCAAACAGGTTACATCTGACATCATCATTGTTCTACAAACTTTCTGGCTAAAGCCCCCCGTAGTTTGTGATGTGGCAACTACAACAAGATTTATTATGATTCATAATCTGTAAGACAGTATCGGACAATATAGTCTATATATAGATATAAGACAATACAGTCTATATATAGATATAAGACAAAACAGTCTATATATAGATATAACACAAAACAGTCTATATATAGGTTCAAGACAAAGCAGTCTATATATAGATACAAAACAATACAGTCTATATATAGGTTCAAGACAAAACAGTCTATATATAGATACAAAACAATACAGTCTATATATAGATATAAGACAAAACAGTCTATATATAGGTTAAAGAAAAAACAGTCTATATATAGATATAAGACAATACAGTCTATATATAGATATAAGACAAAACAGTCTATATATAGATATAACACAAAACAGTCTATATATAGGTTCAAGACAAAGCAGTCTATATATAGATACAAAACAATACAGTCTATATATAGGTTCAAGACAAAACAGTCTATATATAGATACAAAACAATACAGTCTATAGATAGATATAAGACAAAACAGTCTATATATAGGTTAAAGAAAAAACAGTCTATATATAGATACAAAACAATACAGTCTATATTTAGATATAAGACAAAACAGTCTATATATAGATACAAGATAATACAGCCTATATATAGATATAAGACAATACAGTCTATACATAGATACAATATAATACAGTCTGTATATAAATATAAGACAATACAGTCTATATATAGATACAAGACAATACAGTCTATACATAGATACAAGATAATACAGTCTATATATAGATATAAGGTAATACAGTCTATTTATAGATATTGATTTACTGCTATTTATGACAAAAAGTTCAAGTTATGCTTTTTTAACAGATGATAGCCAAGTTGTGGAGAACCTGTTTAAGATGAGGGTTGGGGTCAGCAATCTTAAGTTTAAGGAGCTGGTAGTGACGGATGAAGGGACTTACCGATGTGTTGCCTCAAGTCCAGGTCACACAGATGCTGTGGCTGAGGTTAAACTGAAAGTCAGAGGTGAGGTCATGTCAGAGGTCAAATAAAAAGTGAATTCTAAACTGACATGAAATTAAAGCTATTTAGGTTCTGTTTGGCTGAAGATAAGGTGCACTTTTAAAGGATAAAGATTACCATCAGAATTATAGAATTATCATTATGTTAAAGTACCACAGTGGTGGTATGTTGTTGTAGGTGTATAGTATTGACATGTTGTTGCTAGGTTACAGTTTTATATTGACATGTTGTTGATGTAGTTGCTAGGTTACAGTATAATAGTGACATGTTGTTGCTAGGTTACAGTATAATAGTGACATGTTGTTGCTAGGTTACAGTATAATAGTGACATGTTGCTGATGTAGTTGCTAGGTTACAGTATAATAGTGACATGTTGTTGCTTGGTTACAATATAACTGCCGTGATGTTGACTTGGTAACAATATAAAAGTAACATCATGTTGCTAACTTACATAATAACAGTGACTTGTTTTTAGGTTACAACATAACAGTGTTGTTGCTAGGTTTTAACATAACAGTGTTGTTGCTAGGTTACACTATAACAGTGTTGTTGCTAGGTTACACTATAACAGTGTTGTTGCTAGGTTACACTATAACAGTGTTGTTGCTAGGTTACACTATAACAGTGTTGTTTTTAGGTTACAGTATAACAGTGTTATTGCTAGGTTATACTATAATAGTGTTGTTGCTAGTTTACAACATAGCAATGTTGTTGCTAGGTGACAACATAACAGTATTGTTGCTAGGTTAAAACATAACAGTGTTTGTGCTAGGTTACACTATAACAGTGCTGTTGCTAGGTTACAACATAACAGTGTTGTTGAAAGGTGACACTAGAACAGTGTTGTTACTAGGTTGTAACACAACAGTGTTGTTGCTAGGTTACAACATAACAGTGTTGGTGTTAGTATACACTATAACAGTGTTGTTGCTAGGTGACTACATAAGTGTTGTTGCTAGGTGACTACATAAGTGTTGTTGCTAGGTGACTACATAACAGTGTTGTTGCTAGGTTACAATAAAACAATGACATGATGTTTCTTGACTACAATAAGACTGTGACATGTTGTTACTAGGTTACAAAATAACCGTAACATGTTTCTGCTAGGTAACAATATATAAGGTTACACTATAACAGTGTTGTTGCTAGGTTACTCTATAACAATGTTGTTGCTAGGTTACACTATAACAGTGTTGTTGCTAGGTTACACTATAACAGTGTTGTTGCTATGTGACAACATAACTGTTGTTGCTAGGCTACACTATAACAGTGATGTTGCTGGGTTACAACATAACAGTGTTGTTGCTAGGTTACAATATAAAAATGTTGCTAGGTGGCAACATAACAGTGTTGTTGCTAGGTTACACCATAACAAAGTTGTTGCTAGGTGACAGTACAGAGATGACACACTCTTTTCATCATCACAGTTCCTCCTGTACTGACTGGTCCGCTGGTCAGTCACAAAGTCCAGAGTGCCCAAAGAATTCGCTTGGATTGCCCAGTGAGTGGCAGACCCAAACCCAAGATTGCATGGTACAGGAATGGAGCGCCCCTGACGGCCCACGGTCGCATCTCTGTAAGTAAAGACTGTAAACTCTCCTTACACAACTTATTCAGAATAATTTGTTTATTAATTGACAGAACAAAGGTTTTAATGAGGCTGAATCATGGAACCTAATCAAAATTCAAAATATAATGAAATGTACAACTGCTGTCTTCTGTGCTACAGATCACAGAACAGAACGTTCTCCTGATAGAAAGCATTCTGAGTGACTCCGGATATTACCAGTGTCAGGCCTCCAACGCCGCCGGTTCTGTCATGACAACTGCTCGCATAGAAGTCATTCAAAAGGGTAGGTATCGAGGACATTGACTCTCTCCTGTATTCTCTCATTAGTATATTGCAAGAAACTTAAGTTTGAATTAAGCAAGATAGATGGATTGACCAGATGGCATTGTTCTGTAGTCCTGTCTTTTCATCAGACACTTTTCTGGAAGTGCTGTTCTCTATATTTGTTTTATTTATCCAATACCTTATTGACAACATATCAATGTTACAGACAACAGTCCAGGGAAGACCCAGAACTTCACCGTCACTGTACTGTCAGCCACAGAAGTTTTTGCGGAATGGGCTGGCGCTGATTCTCCAGTCTGCTGTCCTGTGGTAGCCTATACGCTTCACTATCGCAAGATTGGGGGCTCATGTGAGTTGTCAATTTTAGTGCAAGTTTAAGGTCACCAGATACGAAGCCTCATGTGACCTTTTACGATGCTGGTATGAAAAGTCATGTAGTTATTTCAATTTAATAACCTTTACCCATATCGAGGCATTCAAACCGCTTAGGATATCTGGTCAGTAGCATCCCTTGGGATAAATGTGTTTCAAGAACACGTAAACGAATAACCTCAACTGACTGTCAAGGTCACTTTTAGTCAACCATCTTGAAAAAAATTTTCACTGAATATTAATGTAGTATGTTTCTTTTTTACTCTGAATTTTTCGAAAAGTGAAACAAGTTTTTTGATGAATGTATATTAAGCATTCTTGTTGGCCCAAATGAAAGTGGTTTAGTGAGTACTGGAATACCCTGAAAAAACCTTCTTTGGCCAGTACCATACCATGAATGAACAGCTATATAGATACCAACAGCGAAAGTCATATAAATCACAAAATATTCAACAAAATCTTCTTTAAATGAAATAAAAGTTAAAGATACAGGACTTTTAGGCCTCTTGGTAAGATATTTGTATTCTCCTGCCTATTTTTGTTTATGTTACTGCTCTTTGTTATGATCTCTGTGGAGATTGTTAGTTCCATTTGCTCTATACCAAATTAAGGGCCTTCATACTCTCAGTTACAGAGTTATTGCTCTTTGTTAAAATTTTGTGTCTTGAACATAGCTTTGCTTTCATTTGAGCAAGGATAATGAAACTAGACAATATACATTGGTCATACAGAGAGGATGTGCAGTGTACGTAATTCAGGGCCCAAAAACCCTTTATTACAAAAATATTGCTATTTGTTAAAACTTTGTGCCAAATGAAGTTGTTTTCGAGGAGCATTCATCAGCTTCATTGATAGTAATTGATGTCTCCATGATGTTAATCTTGTCAAAAGATCTCTCAGTTTCACAATCAATTTCATTCAAACATGGTAGGCTTAAATTACCATCACATGAAGTGGTGTGTACTTCACAGCAATTTGATTAAGCAATTATTTTAAGGAGTTATTGCCCCTTTTTTGACATGATATTTTTATATTCTTCTGTTTTTGATCAATTTCTTTGAAACTTAATAGACTTTTATTTTACTGTTAGGTAAAATTGTGTTTTCCTTGCTGGAATTGTGGGTTTAAAATTTTGGAAAGAACTATTTCCCTTTTTGTTTTTCTTACAATTTTCATCTGTCTTGTTCAGTGTTCTATCCACACCTCTTAAAACTTGGTATGCATTAGTCTTTCAGTAAAACACATAGCACTGTTTTCCCTCTTAACATTTGACTTATTTTTTTTCCTTATTTGTATTCTTTTCAATACAACAAAGTCGGAATATTTCTTTGGGATGAGATTATATTGTTCCACCCTCCGTGATATTCTTGTTATATAAAGTTAAAAAACCATACCTGAAATTTTCTATTTAGCACTGAACTATCTACGGTCTCTTTTCAGCGAAGGAACAGAAGGCGATAGTGACCGGAACGTCACGGAAGCTGAACAAGTTGGATATTTTTTCAGAGTACGAATTTTATGTTAAAGCCTATGCTAAGGAAGGCGCTGGGGAGGAGTCGAGGAAAATACGGGTTACTACGATGGAATCAGGTGATTGTCATCTAGGGGTCAAAAATATAGGTCAAGGTCATGTAATTTTTGTGCAGGATCTTTAGTATGGTTGCCTTGTCCAACATTATGTAAGACATATTGGTTTAGTTGCTTTGAATTGTAATAATGGATTTGTAGGTGTTATATAGTCAGCATCATGTATCTTCAGATATACAATGATACATCAAAAGTAGGTCGCTGTGTCCCTTATTTCACTATGACTGTGGTTTCATAAATCAACTTGTTCAATTAAATTTCAACTTTTCAAGAGTAGAGTGATGACCATTGTATATCTATTAGTTGTACATCCTTAACAAGGGGTTGCAATGTCTCTGTTGGTTAGAGTGTAGTGTTTGATACCCTAGCAGTGTGTGTTTCTCTGGAAATGGACCAGTTGGTGCTGACATGTCCTTGGACAAGAAACTTTCTCTTATTTTATTTGGATGGCATGTAAAGGGCCTCCTGTATGTTGTTCAGTCAGGTAGCCACAACCTATCACAAATAGACTTATCTCATATTAAACCAAACAACAATGAACAAATTTTATATATAATGACTTGTATCTACTCAAAATATAATGACTTGTGTCTACTTGTAATATAATGTTTTGTGTCTACTTGATCTAAAAAGACTTGTGTCTACTTGAAATATAATGACTTGTGTCTACTTGTAATATAATGACTTGTGTCTACTCGTAATATAATGACTTGTGTCTACTTGATATAAAAAGACTTGTGTCTACTTGAAATATAATGACTTGTGTCTACTTGAAATATAATGACTTGTGTCTATATAATGACTTGTATCTACTCAAAATAAAATGACTTGTGTCTGTTTGAAATATAATGACTTGTGTCTACTCAAAATATTATGACTTATGTCTACTCAAAATATAATGACTTGTGTCTACTCAAAATATAATGACTTGTGTCTACTCAAAATATAATGACTTGTGTCTACTTGTAATATAATGACTTGTGTCTACTTGATATAAAAAGACTTGTGTCTACTTGAAATATAATGACTTGTGTCTACTTGATATAAAAAGACTTGTGTCTACTTGATATAAAAAGACTTGTGTCTACTTGAAATATAATGACTTGTGTCTACTCTTGTGTCTACTCAAAATATAATGACTTGTATCTACTAAAATTATAATGACTTGTGTCTACTTGTAATATAATGACTTGTGTCTACTTGAAATATAATGACTTGAAATATAATGACTTGTGTCTATATAATGACTTGTAGCTACTCAAAATATAATGACTTGTAGCTACTCAAAATATAATGACTTGTGTCTACTTGAAATATATTGACTTGTGTCTACTTGATACAAAAAGACAAGTGTCTACTTGAAATATAATGACTTGTGTCTACTTGATATAAAAAGACAAGTGTCTACTTGAAATATAATGACTTGTGTCTACTTGATATAAAAAGACATGTGTCTACTTGAAATATAATGACTATTGTTTACTCTTTATTGTGTCTAGTACCGTCAGCGGTTCCAACTATCGAGACAACAAGTACATCCCCCACAAACATTCAGGTGACTTGGAGTGAGCTTCCTCGGAAGCTTAGAAATGGCATCATAACCAGGCATCAGATTCGTTACAAGACACAGTCGTCACAGTCAAAGATCATAGAGGTCACCTCCAATGTCACAAGTTACATGATAACAGGTAAAACACACACTTTAACAATTTTACAATTTGAATAATTTAAAATATTATGTTTCTGCTTCAATATTTATCATGTATGTATATGATTGTTTTTAATCATGAAGTTTTATAAAGAATAAAGTGACACTCTATGTGAGGAGTAAATATGGCCTGCATGAAATACTTAAGTGATAGAGAACTTAGGTAAAGTGCAAGGAAGAATTTTTTTCAGGGGAGATAACTCCCCAACTTTTCACTGGTAATATTGATGAAGTAAAAATTTTAACTCTGGAAAAAAATTGAAGGTATCACATGTAACATTTTACATATATAACTGTGTTATTGTATTTTTGGTTACCTACGTGGTTATAGGTCTGCGATCTGACACTGACTACCTTGTGCTTGTATTGGCTGGGACTGATGTCGGCTATCCCACTCAGGATGAAAATTTCTGGACATGGACTTTGCACCACACTCCAGGCCGAGAGCTTGGTAGGTACCATACTATCCCATAGACAAAGTATCACCCCATAGACCAGACACACAGTAGTCTCCCATAGACAAGGTACCATACTCCCTATAGACTGGACACACAGTTGTCTCCCTTAGACAAGGAACCCCACACCCCATAGACTGGACACACAGTGGTCTCCCATAGACAAGGTACCATACACCCCATAGACTGGACACACAGTTGTCTCCCTTAGACAAGTTACCATACACCCCATAGACTGGACACACAGTGTCTCCCATAGACAAGGTACCGTACACCCAGTAGACTGGACACACAGTACTCTCCCATAGACAAGGTACCATACACCCCATAGACTGGACACACAGTAGTCTCCCATAGACAAGGTACCATACACCCCATAGACTGGACACACAGTCTTCCATAGACAAGGTACCACACACCCCATAGACTGGACACACAGTTGTCTCCCTTAGACAAGGAACCACACACCCCATAGACTGGACACACAGTGTCTCCCATAGACAAGGTACTGTACACCCAGTAGACTGGACACATAGTACTCTCCCATAGACAAGGTACCACACACCCCATAGACTTTACACATAGTTGTCTCCCTTAGACAAGTTGCCATACACCCCATAGACTGGACACACAGTACTCTCCCTTAGACAAGTTACCACACACCCCATAGACTGGACACACAGTAGTCTCCCATAGACAAGGTATCATACACCCCATAGACTGGACACACAGTACTCTCCCATAGACAAGGTACCATACACCCCATAGACTGGACACACAGTTGTCTCCCTTAGACAAGTTACCATACACCCCATAGACTGGACACTTCATTATTATCCCATAGACAAACACAGTACAATCATTTGACTTGAAGTGAGTTACTTGCTTTTAATCTTAAGAAAATGATCAAATAATAAAGCATAATTTTAAATAAAAAGTTTTGAAAGTTAATTTTGTCTTAGATGCCTCTTACAGGGATGAATGAATTAAAGATATTTTGTTTCAGTCCTTGAAACAGAGGTTAAGACGGTGAATTAGAATCTGATGGGTTTCTTCTTTTACAGAATTACCTGCCCCTGAACTTGAGGTTATGATGGTGAATAACAATACTGTACGTTTCCTGTGGAATGTTGGTAATGTTTCTGAAACCGTGCTTGGATACCGTCTCTCCATACACAAGATTCTGGAGGAGGAAGGTGTTACTGCTGAGGTCACAGAGGTCAATGCCACAGTAACTTCCTTATACAAATCAGGTTTAGGTAAGGTCACAAAGGTCAAAATCACAGTAACGTCCTTGTATAAGCCAGATCCTGATTAGGACAGTCTTGCTAAGGTCATAAAGGTCATGGCCACGGCAGTATTTTTATGTAGGTCGGGTTTACCTAAGGTCACATGCTAAGGTCACAGAGGTCAACATAACAGTAACTTCTTCATAGATGTCAAATGCTGGTAAGGATAGTTATGCTGTGGTCACAGAGGTCATTATCATAGTAACTTACTTAACCAATAGTTCATTCTGAACATTGATTATGATCTTAATCAGTCTTGTAAGTGTGGAATGTTGGTAATGTTTCTGAAAGGGTCCGTGACCTATAGTCATCATGCTTCGTCTCTCGTCCGCCGTAAGAACAGAGGTACTGGCATGCACTCACTTACAAATCACTTTAAAGGTAATTAGGGTAATTTCCTTGTATCAGTGGTTCAAGGTAAGGTTACATGCTGAAGGTATAGAGGTCACAGAGGTCAACATCATCGTAACATTTCCAGGGTTCTAAAGCTGAAGTTATAGTTTGTTCAAATGAATGACCTTGGCCCACTTTCAAGGTCACAGGGGTCAAATATGTTAAAATATACAAAGGACTTCATCTCAATAAGCAAAAGTCAGAATTAACCAATAGTTCATTCCGACTCATTAGAGTTAAATCTTAATTTGAAACCAGTTTTGATTTTGTAAGTGTGGAACTGGCCTTTTTATATAATGAAATTTTAGTTTTGAAACTAAAACTAATTATATGATATAAAACAACAGCTAGCTTTCAGAATATTTAGATTTTAAAACGTAAAATCAGTTTTCCAGAGTGTTTTGATTTTGTCCTGAAAGTATGGTTTGATTTCCATTTTCCTTTCACCATCTTTGTCGAGATGGTTCCATGGGTCTATAGATTTGGAATACCTACACAATATAAAGATATGGTGACAGCACTCTTATAATCATTAGCTGCATAGAATTGTCAGCTCATCAGGTAGATGTTTATTCATATATTCGATGTTTTCAGAGCCAGAGAAGTTCTACGAGGCGGTATTAATGGTACTTGGCTCAAACGGCAAGGTTGTTGGCCTAGTGACTCTGCTATTCCAGACACACAACCCTAACATGCCAGCTCTACCCCCTCCCCCTGTAGATCTTGAGCCACACCCTCTGTCCTCCACCTCTGTGTCCTTTTCCTGGCGTCCACCTCGCACCCCCCAGGAGATCAGATTCTACACAGTCCAGTACAGCACGGCCAACAACAGCCATAAAGTCACTGTGCGGAGGTGAGCTGCAGATTATCTCCCTTCCCTGTACAATTGAAAAAAAAATACTCACTTTACTGAAAGTTGTGATGCCTGATTATCTTCCTGTGCAAAGTGTAATGGTAGATTATCTCCCTTTGCATAACAGATACCGGATTATCTCCCTTCATCCAACAAGAAACATAGGGTACTTTTGTTTATACCGTTGTATCGGCACCAAAAGTGGCACAGTTTCATTCTGTATAAAAGAACATGTTCGATTTGTGTTTTTATTCCAAAATGGCAATCAATAAAATAAAAAAATGAATATTTAAATTTTGGAAAATTTCTAGTTTCTGACATCAACAATGTTAATGACTTCTTAATAGCATTACTATGTTAGAGCAGTAAAAAGACACTTCAATTAATGCAGATTTTTTCAAATTCTTAACAAATAATAGATATTCATTGACAGAATAATTTCTGTATCACAAACTCTCCTTTTAAAGTAAATACAAGGTGAGGAAATTTCATAAAACAAATATCAGGATAAAACATCAGTATTTTGTAATTATTTTCATTGTTGTATTTAAATATCAAAACAAACCAGTACCATGTGCATTAAAAAATGCATATTGTGCAAATATTTTGAGAATTTCTTTTTGTCATTTATTGTAAAACTATTTGTTAATACATGTAAGTACATAAGCTAACATCCATAAATATTCCTAGTTTTATATTAGGCATTTGTGTATTGCTGTTTTCTTAATTTTTTCATTGTTTATGGCAAAAAAAAAACCATAGGAATAAAGAAATGCAAATGAAAATGCTTGCTTTGCTTTTTCAGAAACAATTTTTTTCAGTTCTTCATAAAATGTTATTTAAAAATTATGTTCCAAATCAATGCAAGAAAATGTAATTTTTGGTTGATAAAATTCTATCCATTGATAACCATGCATTTTCGATGAAGACAAGATTATTTATTTCATAAATTTCTGATGAGAAATTTTATCATTGTATTAGAAATTTCTCTTACTGCCTGGATACTCTACCATAACACTACATATACTCAGTGTATTTTAAGGAAATGCTATATTTTCTATGAATGTTGTTAATTGTTTTTATTGTAGTAAATCAATGTGTACAGCTGTGTGTAATTTATTTATCACGGAATAATTTGAACCTCTCAAATACAATAGTCACATGGAACCCATTGTCTATAAAATACAAAAGATGCAATATAATTTCCCATTTCTAAATTTGGAATAATACATGAATGAAAAAATATTGCTGTGAGAGGGCAAATTAAGCCGAGTAAATGTATTAATAAACAAGTAAGCTTATCACTAAGGGTAGAATATTGGTGTAAAACATTTAAAAAGTTTGTGGTTAATATACTGAAGGCAATGCACTTTATCAACATTTTTTCATTCATACAGGAAACATGAAATTATGAATCAAATCGTGATATCATTGTAAAATTTTGATACAACTTTAACTTTTGAATATTTTGTTGTAATTTGCTGCAAACAGAAGGCTGAAAAAAATTACAAATATCTGAAGACCATGAGACAATTATTACACAGATATAACATACAAGTATGACTAAATTAATTAATAAGTTACTATTTATATAAAGATAATACTGGAGCCGTCATTTCTTTTCCAAACTCAATATGAATATGATCAAGCACATTAATCAACACAGTATCAACAGAAAGCCATACTAGTACAATATTTCAGTCATTTGATAACGAAGGCAGTAAGGATTATGTGTTGATGTGTATTACTTACTTTGGTATACAGTATTCTTGCAGTATAAACTGTGATAGATAATCTTTATGTTTTGTCATGGTTCATATTATCAATATAATGTCATGATATAAACAAATAGCGTCAGTTTCGACTGCTATCTATCATATACACCAATCCTGGAATCTTTACTTTCTTCGTACTGATGTTACGATATGAAGAAACATAGGATTATTGTCTATTTCTACGAAGTTCCAACTGCATTTGTTTACTTTCCAACTCGAGCCGCCATCTTGGTTCCACCTGGACCCCTCAATCAAAGGGTGTCAGATTAGCCACTGAAAACGATTCGGATCAACCAGTTTGTCTGTTACAACTGCATTAACGAAAGGGCCCCAAATTTCTCCATTTGCCTAACATAATACCAGATAATCAGCTATTTTTGAACATAATACCAGATTATTTTTCTTTGCCAAACAATATACCAAATGATCTCCCTTTGCTGAGTATTCAAATTACCTCCCTTGGCTTGTCACTTGGGGATTTCCTTTTTGTTACTATAATGTCAGTTAGATGAATTTTAGCATTTATGGAACACTTTCTTTCATATTCAGATTCAAGCTAGTAGTTACCTGCCATTGCCAAACTTTTGTCGATTAATATAAGAACACCTCGCACCAATGATGTGTACATACTGTGAGGAGATGCACACATTTTTGAGGGCAAAAAAATTGACCAGCAAACTAAAAAAAGATGACTTACATGCCTTTAAAAGGTATCATAATCAGAAAATAATACTGTCATCAGCCCTATTGAACTTAATTGCTCAAAACAATGGGTCCTACAATGTAAAATTTAAGTATTTGAAGAAATTCTTTGATTCCCATCAAAATTCCATGAGAGCAGGACTCAGGGAAAGTAAAGATATTTGGTCAGTAGTATGCTGGGATGAAACGCTGTCAGATTTGTTTCATGACTTTCATGACCTTGACCTACTTTTAAAGTCTATCAGGTTAAATGTGTGAAATGATAAATTAAGTTTTTTTCTAATTAATTGATAGACACAGGCTTTTTAGTACACTTAAACAAGAAACTTTTCTGAATATATTCTGTGAGCTACAGAGCAGGTGAGCAATACTGATATAGTCTCCCCTACCACTAAAGCTGGAGAAAAGGGAAGGAAGGGGTGGGGGCTGATATTTTGGACAACCTTTATGTTTTCAAGGTTGTTGGGTCAAGGTCACTGGCACTATTTTCAGTCAGTTTTCTTGTAGTTTCATACCTTGAGGAACTTTCATCAAAGTTGACACACATATAAAGCACTGATATACCTTGGTTTGGCCATGGTCACCTTTACTGTTTTAAGAAAATTGTTCGCATTTTTGTGAATTCATTCCTTGATGGCTTCTCATTGAATTTCAGTAATGTCTTGTGGGAGTGGGTGGGTGGACATACATTGCTTTAGCAATACTGTATGTGCTTGCTGTTTTAATGATAAAATCCTTTTATCTTGTTTTCTCTCAGTGATCTACCACAAATTGTTCTGGAAAACCTAGAGCCATTTACTTGGTACAATCTGTCTGTTCGCTCTCATACCAACATCCTCAACGGTCCCTATAGCAGTCCTGTCCTAGTACGCACCAAAGAAGGAGGTAAGTGTAACAGCTAGTCATCATAAAGTGGTCAAGGAGGTAACTGTAACAGCCCATCACAGATATTATTCTAGTCACGTAATATTTTGAAACTTTACTTTGAATTAATTATCAGTTTAAACAAAAATTTTATTTAGTTCATAATCCTTTAAAAATAGTTTTATAATAGTAATAGTAAAAATATAATAATTATAATAGTATATATTGTTTAACAATGACAGGTAATAACAACTGAAAAATAAAGATAGACAGAACTGAAAATTCTGATAAAAGTAGTATTCTTTGCAATATTTAATTATTTGCTGATTTGCGAAATGAGTGATTTTTGAATGCCTACTGACATAGTTAGATATTATTGCAATTGTGACGATTGATAAGCTAACCATTTATAAGAATTTACATATCAGTGTATTTAAGATGTAGGTATATCTAAAAAATGACATTTTTTTTAAGTATCCTAATGTTGGCCAAGGATTCTGGTAATACAACAATAGCCAGGTTCATAGTAACAATATTAGACTGGAGCAAAAAATTAATGAATAAAAAGCTTGGAACCCAAACCATAACAGAGTTCCTTGTTTAAAACTATATAGCTATGGTGCCGTAAATTTTGTGACTGTTTGCATCAGCAGCTAACCTATAAATAATCTGGTAGTAGTTTGCTACTAAAGGAAAAAGTAGGTGATAAATTTCTGGAATAATTCCAAGTTGTTTGGAAGCTTTGCAATACTGACTCTTTCAAACATTCACATGATCTGATGCATCATGTAGCATCTTTGAACAAATTGGTTGCCTTGACAAACAGGACATTGGAATTTAATAGCAAATATTTCAGCAAGTAAACTTTCTAATATGTTCTCGTGTGGTCAGATCAACTAATTAAAGATAATATATAAAAATTAGTATAATATAAATATGTATATAATAAACATTATTCCAACACATAACACAAGATCACTCTGCGTTGCAGTACCCACTGCACCTGGTAATATACAGATCAAGTCACTTGCCAAGGACAAAGTCCGCCTCAGCTGGACAGCACCTGCCAAGGTCAATGGAGAAATTGTGTCCTATATGATCTTGTATAATCGCGAGCCTGGCCACAGTGACGACCTCTGGACCTCTATTAGTAAAAACGGTGAGTTGTATTCTGTATGATACTGACTGGTATAATGATGACATGTATGTTTACAAACTATTACATGTAGGTATGAGATTTATGTCAGTGATAGTTTTGATGTAAATTATCTATAAAGATTGTAGTATAGCAAGCACTGACTATATACAGGATTCTCCTACATACCTGTAAGAACATTATTTCTCTGGCCAAAAGTATGTCCATCACAGCTGCCATGACAACTTGAGGTTTTGCTAAATGAGTGGACATGAGGAGTACATAGTAATCAATAAACCAATTTGTTAAGAGAGAAGGCAAACCTAGACGATAATATGTTGGACTATGACAGGACAGACACACTTTCACATAGTCCCCATATGATTGTCTATTTGATATAAATGCATTGTTGTGATTTAACTTCAAGGCTTTAATTTCTTATTGGAAAGATTATTTCAGGCCTCAGTTTGGCTACAACATAAGATTGATAAAAATCTGACCTAGGAACATTTTAGGTGGAACAAACAATTTATAAAAATTCAGAAAATCACCCATACTATTAAAAATGTTTTCTTTCTGATATTTGACTTTCTAATCATTAGCATTGAAAAGAATAGAATGCAAATTGACTGAGGATATTAAGGCGAAAGACATCATTTCCTGTTTGGTCCTAAATGATAAAATCCTGTGGTAACTTACTATTATCTTTTCCATAGGGAGCTCCACCTCTGCCGTTATCAGGGACCTGTCAGACGACACTTACTACTTTAAGTTAAAGGCATGTACGCGAGCAGGCTCTGGACCATCCTCCCCCGTCATACAGGTCATTTTGAAGGGCTGTTCTCTGGACTGTAGTCCTGACAATCCTCCTAAAAACCAGCATACAGGTAAGGTTGGTCATTACAAATGCACGATTTTCATGCCTATTTTTGGTTTTGTGCTAGTTTTATCAAACAAAACACCTTTTCCTCAGTGCTCAGACAGGAGTTATGCAGGCCTTTTGGGCCTCTTCTTTAAATGAGTTTTTTGTTAAAATTTATTCTGATTTATTGATAAATTATGAGTTTATTATGGCCGATATTATCAGTGTGAGTTGTGAGCTACCTCGGTTTCCATGGTAACTCAACATAGTAACTGCCTAGTCTGAAAAAGTCTTCAGTAATTTGTTGTTTTTGTGTTGTTTTTGTTTAGGTACAGAGTCGCCTCTCGGCGCAGTTCCAGACCAGAAACTCGGGATAATCATAGGGTGCTCAGTTGGTCTCTCCAGCATCATCATCTGTATCATTGTCATCCTGCTCAAACAAAGGTTTGTCACCTGTAGTCTGTGTCCTTGTCAAACAAAGGTTTGTCACCTATAGCCTGTGTCCATGTCAAACAAAGGTTTATTACCTATAACCTGTGTCCTTGTCAAATATTTATCACCTGTAATCTGTGTCCTTGTCAAATATTTATCAACTGTAGCCTGTGTCCTTGTCAAATATTTATCACCTGTAGCCTGTGTCCTTGTCAAAGATTTATCACCTGTAGCCTGTGTCCTTATCAAATATTTATCACCTGTAGTCTGTGTCCTTGTCAAAGATTTATCACCTGGTGTGTCCTTGTCACACTGTAGCCTGTGTCCTTGTCAAATAAAGGTTTGTAACCTGTAGCCTGTGTCCTTGTCAATGTAGCCTGTGTCCTTGTCAGATATCGATCACCTGTAGCCTGTGTCCTTGTCAAATATTTATCACTTGTAGCCTGTGTCCTTGTCAAAGATTTATCACCTGTAGTCTGTGTCCTTGTCAAAGATTTATCACCTGTAGCCTGTGTCCTTGTCAAATATTTATCACCTGTAGTCTGTGTCCTTGTCAAACAAAGGTTTGTAACCTGTAGCCTGTGTCCTTGTCAGATATCGATCACCTGTAGCCTGTGTCCTTGTCAGATATCGATCACCTGTAGCCTGTGTCCTTGTCAGATATTGATCACCTGTAGCCTGTGTCCTTGTCAGATATTGATCACCTGTAGCCTGTGTCCTTGTCAGATATTGATCACCTGTAGCCTGTGTCCTTGTCAGATATTGATCACCTGTAGCCTGTGTCCTTGTCCTTGTCAGATATCGATCACCTGTAGCCTGTGTCCTTGTCAGATATCGATCACCTGTAGCCTGTGTCCTTGTCAGATATCGATCACCTGTAGCCTGTGTCCTTGTCAGATATTGATCACCTGTAGCCTGTGTCCTTGTCAGATATTGCTCACCTGTAGCCGGTGTCCTTGTCAGCTATTGATCACCTGTAGCCTGTGTCCTTGTCAGATATTGATCACCTGTAGCCTGTGTCCTTGTCAGATATTTATCACTTGTAGCCTGTGTCCTTGTCAGATATTGATCACCTGTAGCCTGTGTCCTTGTCAGATATTGATCACCTGTAGCCTGTGTCCTTGTCAGATATTGATCACCTGTAGCCTGTGTCCTTGTCGAATATTTATCACTTGTAGCCTGTGTCCTTGTCAGATATTGATCACCTGTAGCCTGTGTCCTTGTCAGATATTGATCACCTGTAGCCTGTGTCCTTGTCAGATATCGATCACCTGTAGCCTGTGTCCTTGTCAGATATTGATCACCTGTAGCCTGTGTCCTTGTCAGATATTGATCACCTGTAGCCTGTGTCCTTGTCAGATATTGATCACCTGTAGCCTGTGTCCTTGTCAGATATTGATCACCTGTAGCCTGTGTCCTTGTCAGATATTGATCACCTGTAGCCTGTGTCCTTGTCAGATATTGATCACCTGTAGCCTGTGTCCTTGTCAGATATTTATCACTTGTAGCCTGTGTCCTTGTCAGATATTGATCACCTGTAGCCTGTGTCCTTGTCAGATATTGATCACCTGTAGCCTGTGTCCTTGTCAGATATCGATCACCTGTAGCCTGTGTCCTTGTCAGATATTGATCACCTGTAGCCTGTGTCCTTGTCAGATATTGATCACCTGTAGCCTGTGTCCTTGTCAGATATTGATCACCTGTAGCCTGTGTCCTTGTCAGAATTTTTCTTTTCCACAAACAGATCCATAAGATATGGGAGGTATACAGCAAACCTCATATCTATCTAGTTGTGTCACATCTCATCACATCCTGTCCCATCCTGCATAGTCCCAACTCAATGTAAACATCTTGCAACTTCATTCTTGGACAGATTTAGGTCAAATATAAGAAGACTTTGGACATTATTGTGTTCCAGGGGCCAAAGGTCAAGGCCAAGGTCACCCTCACTATAGATAGAAAATTGTTAACTGATTCAATTTAAACACTTCACAACTTCATTCTGTCATGGAATTCAGTCAAATTTTGTGCAATGACCAAGTTTGAGTATTCTTTTGACGATATTTTGTTTCAGGGGTCAAGGTCAAGGTCTGTGGTCTGTAGAAAAAATTAACTAGTTCCGAATTTGTTTTTACCTAATTAAGGAGGTAATGACTTTAAATTTGGCGTGTGACTTTAGTGTACAGGGTCAGATTGGATCCCAGTCTAAAAATCTGATTTTAGGTGCAGTTCCAACTCTTTATACTTTAGTTGTACAGACCCCTTTCTGTTATGTGCAGAGATTGAAATTTAGTGTGTGGCTTCAATCTATAGGTTTAAGATCAAATTTGAATTCCAGTTTTGTTTGTCTCAAGATTTGTTGTGGACTTGGCCATCAGTAATTAGCCACAGTTTTATAGTTTATGCCTATTTCAAATCCTTATCATCCTGCCCATCATGGCAGAATGTAGGGTGGGGGAGGCATTCATGCCCTACCAACATTTCCAATTTTAAATTATAAATACACGATTTTGTCGTTTATATCCTTTAGAAATGTTCAGGTGTCCTATTTTTTCATTTTACAAAAGATATTTCTGGATACAGAATTTCACCTCATTATGATAGAGACCTTGATGATAAATACTAATGTGTTCATGTTCCATTCTCCATCGGCATCAGTAGGATAACCAGACACGTAAGATCAGCTAAAAACACTGATTAACAAGTATGAATTGGACTGTTGCAGGCACTACACCCGTCTGGCCCAGCACCAGGCTAACTTTCATCAGAATGGATCTGTTCTGACAGGCCAGCCCAATAAACCTCACAATGATGACAGTCTACCTATGTTGCAGGAAAATATTCACAGTGACAGCAAGGTAAGTGTGCAGTTACTTTTTAAATATCCACAGTGACAGCAAGGTAAGTGTGCAGTTATAGTTTAAATATAGACAGTGACAGCAAGGTAAGTGTGCAGTTACTGTTTAAATATCCACAGTGACAGCAAGGTAAGTGTGCAGTTATAGTTTAAATATAGACAGTGACAGCAAGGTAAGTGTGCAGTTACAGTTTAAATATCCACAGTGACAGCAAGGTAAGTGTGCAGTTACAGTTTAAATATCCACAGTGACAGCAAGGTAAGTGTGCAGTTATAGTTTAAATATAGACAGTGACAGCAAGATAGCTGTCCGGTTACAGTTAAGAATCCACAGTGACAGAAATTAACGCAATCTTCTTGTCTCTCTTACGTTGATAAATCATAAAAGTGAGGCTGTCGTGTTACTGTGTCAGTGACAGAAATTAACGTGATCTTGTCTCTCTTTCGATGATAAATCATGGAAGTGAGGCTGTCGTGTTACTGTTTCATCGACAGAGATTAACGTGATCTTCTCGTCTCTCTTACGATGATAAATCATGGAAGTGAGGCTGTCGTGTTACTGTTTCATCGACAGAGATTAACGTGATCTTCTTGTCTCTCTTACGATGATAAATCATGGAAGTGAGGCTGTGGTGTTACTGTGTCAGTGACAGAAATTAACGTGATCTCGTCTCTCTTTCGATGATAAATCATGGAAGTGAGGCTGTAGTGTTACTGTGTCAGTGACAGAAGTGGCAGCATCAACAACTCATGTTTTCTTCTCTGACCTGACCTATACCCATTGTGTTTCATCTGTTGTCGTTCACCATGTGTAAACTTTTTTACATTTAAAACATCTTCTCAAGTTCAGTCAGTATGATTCAACTGAAACTTACCTAACAGGATCCTGAAATGGTTCTGAATGTTTATGTGGGGAGGGAGTTGGTTTGATTGCTTTACGTCCTACTAACAGACAGTTTTTTAAGATGTTAGACATCAATCTTGCTGCCCCTATTTCATTTGATCAGTCCGAAATCAAAATTAGCCACTATCTTAGAGACATACTTTAACCTTCTTCTCAACTTTTATTGGTACCACAGAGCTGAAAATTGGTGGAGAAGTGAAGAAAAGGAAGCCAGGAAGATGCTTTTATTATTCAGCTTTCTCAAAATTTCAGTGGTGCAGCCACCATGCCATTTTTAAACATGATTGTGCAATCGTAATTTTCTTGAACAAGACCTGTTTTAAACTTCTTAAATTCCACTTTTGGGATTCAACTGAAACTGGCTTTTCATCATATTAAATGGTCCTAACTTTGTGTTGATATTTTTTATTTTGGTTCTAAATCTAATATAATTGTCATTACCACCGTTTTGAAAAATACATTTTTGAAATAAACTTTTCTCAGTTTCATTACATGGAAGTAGATGACTCCGATCTTACATAGAGGCTGTAGCCATCAACTTTTCTCTGTCATCATGTACCATACTTACACTGTTTACATCTTAATCTTAAGTTGTTTGAGTGGGATTGAGCTGAAAACTGGTGGAAATATTATGAAAGGGAAGATGACAAAGTGTAATTTTCAGCCTCGTGCATAGTGTATGGCAGTCATTTTGTAAAATGATTGTGTAATCGTGGTTTCCCTTAATCACATTTATTTTAAACTTCCTCTCACATTCCACCTGTGAGATTCAGGTTAAACTTGAATAAATAACCTTTAGCTGGTCCTCACTTGTTATTAGGTATGACCTTGTGATCGCCTTTTGTCTGGCATCGTCCTGTGTAAACATTTTCAACTTCTTCTCAAGTTCTACATGTCTCATTGAGCTGAAACTTACCTGAAATGATTGTGACATGATCCTGACCAAAGTTTGTTAATTTCCGGTTGGTCCGAAATCCAACATGGCCGCCATCTTGAAAACACTTTTTTGACTTCTTCTCAAGTTCAAAATTTGAAATCTTGTATTTCATGTCAGATGACCGTTTAGGCCTATGGGCCTCTTGTTTTTTTAGATTAGCCTGAAATCCAATATGGTCGCCATGGCCACCATCTTGAAAACAGCTTTTAATCTTCCTACTTACGCTCTACTGAATACTTGTGGAAATATGGAAATGAGTGCAGTTTTCCTTATTGCTAAAATATTTCAAACTATTTTAATAAATTATCAACTGTTCCTACTATTGCTACAGAACTACTGTTATACCCCATATAGTAATTTATAGTCAGATGACCAGAAAGGTCTATGGGACTTTTAATCAAATGTCCTGTGTTTGATGTGGTTGATATTGTTTCCTTGAGGAGATAATTTGTTAAGTTTTTTTAAGAGAATGCCTACAAGAAGAACCATCTTTCCTTAAGCTGAAGTTGGTTATAAAGTGTTCACTATACATTTTCAGGGGCCAGGAAATGGGACACTATTCTTGGGAAATGGACGCGTGATCTACATCTGTAGCAATGGTCATGGTAACGGTCGTCTTCGAGCAGTGGTAGCTGAGCCTCGCAGACAACCAAATGGTACAACACAGGTAAGATGCTTAGGACTTTAAGAAATTGGTAAATTTATTCCAAGAAATTGTTCAGTAACTTTACAGAAAGTGCAAAAAATATGATTCTAATCCATCTGAGATGTGAGATTGAGATTAAGGAGTTTTAGAAAATGTCTTTAGGAAATTAATCATTTGTTTTTCTCTTTGACCTATTTGCTTGGTAATTGTATTTGTTGGTAGGTACCAGAACAGACTGCCCTATTGCTAGAGGATGCAGACAGACAACAGCTGACTTTTAACCCAAGAAACAATCTTTTGTCAAAGTCTGGCAGTAATCTGACCAGTAGTCAGGGCCTGTCTTCAAGGGAGCCTCGTTACGATAGTGACCACTCTGTGACCTATGACCCCGGCCTTGAGAGTGTGACCTATGACCCTGGCCTTGAGAGTATAAGTCGCAGTCAAACTGGTTCACCAAGCAGCACAACAGATAACTCTCCTCATCCTGGCAGGGCATGTTCTCTGGAAACTGACAAAATTTCACTGAATCCTACCTCAAACTCTCAGACACTAAGTTCTAAACAGTGGCCACCAGGGGATGGTTGTACCACTGTGTTAACAGAGGATGACAACTCTGGTGTGTTTCTTGTGGAAGATGACACCGCTGTCCAAAGTGACGTTAAAATAGACAATAGCTGTGACATGGGTTCAGAGGATGATTGTCACAGCAACAAGGCTGGTACGCTGAGTAGTGATGAACTTCTGTTCAAGATGTATAACTCGACGACGTCAAGCGTCGATTACAATGAAGACACATTAAGAAATGTGTCAGCCTCCTCCTCTACCTCCAACCTGGCCATGCAGCCAAGCATGGGCCTACCTCAGACATATAGCTCAACCAATTCGGCTCCAAGGGTGTGACAGAAGCTTCTAGAAACACATTCTGAGTGTTACAGGTGTTAAGAAACACTTCCCGAGTAAGACAGACGGCTTCTTGATACACTACCAGAGTGTGACAGCAGGCTTTTAGAAACACTCGAGGGGACGACAGACTGCCTGAACACCCCAGGGTGTGACAGCAGGCTTTTAGAAACACTCGAGGGGATGACAGACTGCCTGAACACTCCCAGGGTGTGACAGCAGGCTTTTAGAAACACTCCAGGGGATGACAAGACTGCCTGAACACTCCCAGGGTGTGACAGCAGGCTTTTAGAAACACTCGAGGGGACGACAGACTGCCTGAACACTCCCAGGGTGTGACAGCAGACTTTTAGAAACACTCGAGGGGATGACAGACTGCCTGAACATTCCCAGGGTGTGACAGCAGGCTTTTGGAAACACTTGAGGGAATGACAGACTGCTTGAACACTCCCAGGGTGTGAGAGTTGATGTTTAGAAACACCTCAAAGATTTCACAGAAAGCCAGTAGAAACACACCCTGGATGTACAGAAGGCCTTGAGAAACACTCCCAGGATGTACAGAAGGCCTTGAGAAATACTCCAAGGATGTAGAGAAAGCCTTGAAAAACACTCCCAGGATGTACAGAAGGCCTTGAGAAACACTCTCAGAGTGTAGCAGAAAGTCTAAACACGCCAAGGATGTACAGAAAGCCTTGAAAACCACTCCCAGGATGTACAGAAAGCCTTGAGAAACACTCCAAGGATGAACAGAAGGCCTTGAAAAACGCTCCCAGGATGCACAGAAGGCCTTGAGAAACACTCTCAGAGTGTAGCAGAAAGTCTAAACACGCCCAGGATGTACAGAAAGCCTTGAAAAACACTCCCAGGATGTACAGAAGGCCTTGAGAAACACTCTCAGAGTGTAGCAGAATGCTTAAACACTCCCAGGATGTACAGAAGGCTGCAGAAACACTTCAAGGATGTGACAAATAAGGCATGAATTCAGAAACACTCAAAAGGTATGACTAGATCTCTAGAAACACTCCCAGGGTGTGACAGAGGGCCTCGTGAAATATTCCCCACTCTGTGACATGAGGACTGGGACACTCGCAGAGTGTGAGAGTTCTCTTCTTCTGTGTAAAATTCAACACCACTATGACTGGCCATCAGCAATTTTGTCACATTCTTTGGAAATGGGAATTTCAGGAAAATTTGTCGGAAAATAAACCACTTTTTCACTTACAAGATGTGTATGTGACAAGTTTGATCTATTCTCCCACCAAAGGTTAATGTTATCAGGTTCAGTCAAGCTTGTATCAGTTTAACAATTGGATTTTTTCTTTTTTTTTTTGAGAATTACCTCAGATTTTTAACTGTATATATATACTTGAGGATTGTGTTTCATCAGGTTTTTTTCCTTAGAAACAGTGTTTTATGTGTTATATATAATGTATTTACCTGTATTTGTAAGTGGAAAACGTTGCTGGGAAATGTATGTTCTGCATTGGAAATGATGACACTTGCATTTTTCAGGTGGAAAACTTCGTGTTTATTTGTTGAAAACTTTGTACATTGCTGGAAAATGTTGTATATGAGAAATCATGATACTTGCTTCAGCATTTGTAGGTGGAAAAATTAATTAATGGAAAAAAATGTCGTGAGAATTGTTCACTCTACAGCATTTATAAACAGGAAAATTTGTATGTAAGTTAGAAATCATCACATTTATAAAATGAAAATTTGTATGTAAGTTAGAAATCATCACATTTATAAACTGAAAACTTGTATGTTAGTACAAAACAACACATTTACATACAGGAAACTTGTATATAAGTTAGAAAACATCACATTTATATACAAGAAAACTTGTATGTTAGTACAAAACAACACATTTATTTACAGAAAAACTTGTATGTTAGTACAAAACCAACACATTTATATACAGGAAAACTTTTTTGTAAGTGTGAAACCGTCACATTTATTTACAGGAAAACTTGTGTGTAAAAAAGCATCTCATTTATTCTAGTTAATTGTTTGTGGGGAAACGTTCCCACAGAAGTTTAGAAATTCACCTGTATGTTTGTGTTATGTCTGAAAGATAATGATGTAAAGTTCATGTCTATTTCATAACAAGATATGCGATCTTGTGTTCCTTTTTCCGGTAATGTATCCCTAATTTATTTCAGGAGTAATCAGATCAGTTTCGCTGTGTATTTAGTATTGTAAGTACTTTATATTATAAAATGTTGCCATACCTCAGTGCTGACAACTGGAGTTACCTCCCCTTATTTATTTTTGATGCTACTGTAAATATTTTTAGTAATATATGGCCCATTTGTTTGAAGTCTTGTTACTTCATCAAAATGTTTGAGAAAGAATTATACAAAAGCGAACACTGTTAACAAAGAGTTGTCTAACATTATAAATGAATTCATAGTAATTTTGGTTAAAAATGGAGAGTAAATTTATTTACAAATGTTTAATCTTAATCAAATGTCGAAAAGTTGTAACTAAAAATCACAAGCATTGAAAAGGAATAAGTGTAACTACCCTGTTCTATCAGTAGGTTGATATAACTCCGTAACAGAATGTCAACATCTGCACTTTTATCTCCTGTTGTCATTTTTGGTTTTGATTCTCGCTACACTTGGACTTACTGTATGAAGGTAATGCTTGGTAGTCAAGACAAATGTCTGTTTTTTTATTGTCCAGAATTCAATTTTTTGTAGATTTTTTTTGCTGGTGGTGAGACACCCGATGAGATTGTATATTTATGTTGTAAAGCCTTGCACTGAATCTCAAAAAAATTATTACACATTTTACCTATTTTTTAGAGGAATTATTTTAATTTTAGAAAAAAAGTACAATTAGATTTAAAATGAAGTCATGTTGACTGACTTTAAACAGATGGGCTGTAGTACCTGACTTAGTAGATAAATGGCAGATATGTTTTCATAGTTAGGTTGTGATGCCCTATATAGTACACACTCAGGATATTAAACACATTATATTATTGTAATTTTATCAAAACTATCTGTGACACAGATTTAAATTATTTGCATGTCCATATTGGAATTTTTTTTAATCTTGCGCACCTTAGCTTGGCAGTGAGTATGTGCAGAGCACATTTTTTTATTTAGGGATTGATAAATGGGGAAGTAAACTTTCGTTTATTTTATAATACCTCGTTTTCTGTAGTAAATCTCCAAGCACCATCTTGTCAGACACATTTGTTAGAACACATCATCAGGGCACTCCACTGCCCTCTCCAGATTCTCAGGAAAAGACTACCACTAAATTCTGAACATTTCTCGTAACAGTAGATTTGATGTTATTTCTTTGTTTCATAAATGCAGTGTATTTGAATTTTACTAACCTCCTGTCAGTTTGAACAAGTTTAATAACTGTTTTTTAATTGAACATGTCATGTGATGGAAGTGTCTGCCAATTTGAACTGACTTGAGGTTGTCCTAATACAGTGTTTTAACATTGATAAACACTGCTAATCACCTAATTGAGAAATTATTTTTTATTTGTCATAACAGTGTGAAAAACTTTACTTTTTATTTCAAAGTTAGGAAATCTATATACATTTGTACATGTATTTCTTATCTGAAAATGAGTTCATTTGTAGAAGGTTTGGTCTGAAAGATATGTTAGACTGAAGTCCGTAGCCATATTTGGGTTTGATGATCATGAGGCTTTTCAAGGTTAATTTGGGGTTTAAGTTTGTGTAGCGTTATTTTTCCAGAAAACCATTTACACAAGAGTCCTTAATCCTAGTATGTGCATCAATCAAGCCTTTATTTTTTAATGTCACTTTAAAAACAGTAACCATAAGAACAATCCTACTCAGGACACTAACATTCAAAAATATTTTCATGTACTTGTAGATCTGTACCAAGTCAAAGAGGAAAGCTTTGCTCTAATGTGTTTTAACACCAGCCTTTTCATTTAAAGCATTCAGAAATCAATGGAAAATATTCTACCGCTCAACTTGTAAGCCATCAGAGGGTCAGTCCATGACTCTAGATATCTCCCCTTGTAAGTCATCAGAGGGTCAGTCCATGACTCTAGATATCTCCCCTTGTAAGTCATCAGAGGGTCAGTCCATGACTCGAGATATCTCCTCTTGTAAGCCATCAAAGGGTCAGTCCATGACTCTAGATATCTCCTCTTGTAAGTCATCAAAGGGTCAGTCCATGACTCTAGATATCTCCCCTTGTAAGTCATCAGAGGGTCAGTCCATGACTCTAGATATCTCCTCTAGTAAGTCATCAGAGGACCAGTCCATGACTCTAGATATCTCCTGTTGTAAGCCATCAGAGGACCAGTCCATGACTCTAGATATCTCCCCTTGTAAGCCATCAGAGGACCAGTCCATGACTCTAGATATCTCCCCTTGTAAGCCATCAGAGGGTCAGTCCATGACTCTAGATATCTCCCCTTGTAAGTCATCAGAGGACCAGTCCATGACTCTAGATATCTCCCCTTGTAAGTCATCAGAGGGTTAGTCCATGACTCTAGATATCTCTCTTGTAAGTCATCAGAAGGTTGGTCCAAGACTCACGATAGTGGATGGATCTGGTTCTGAGATTGTCTCTGTTGCCAAGTGTATTTGATTTTGATGGACCTGATCCCACAGATGACCTTTAGAGCCAGCCTTTATAGGCTATGGAAGGACCTTGTCCCCCATGTCCTCTTCAGATGGCCACTATAGGGCACAGATTGGCCTAGTCTCACAAACGACTTCTTACAACCAACAAAGGGTTTGTCCCTCAGAGAGTTTCTAGTATAGCTAGCCGTTATAAGTGTGGATTGACATAGTCCCTCAGATGACCTCTATAACCAGCCACTATAGGGAGTGGACTGACTGGGTCCCTCAGACAACCTTTATAACCAGCCAATATAGGGAGTGGACTGGCTGGGTCCCTCAGACGACCTCTATAAACAGCCACTATAGGAAGTGGACTGACATGGTCTGTCAGAGGACCTCTATAAACAGCCACTATAGGGAGTGGACTGACCTGGTCCCTCAGACGACCTCTATAAACAGCCACTATAGGGAGTGGACTGACCTGGTCCTTCAGACCTCAATAAACATCCACTATAGGGAGTGGACTGACCTGGTCCTTCAGACGACCTTTATACCAGCCACTATAGGGAGTGGACTGACCTGGTCCCCCAGACAACCTCTATAAACAGCCACTTTAGGGAGTGGACTGACCTGGTCCCTCAGACAACCTCTATAAACAGCTACTATAGGGAGTGGACTGACCTGGTCCCTCAGACGACCTCTATAAACAGCCACTATAGGGAGTGGACTGACCTGGTCCCCCAGACAACCTCTATAACCAGCCACTCTAGACTGACCTGGTCCCTCAGACGACCTCTATAAACAGCTACTATAGGGAGTGGACTGACCTGGTCCCCAAGACAACCTCTATAACCAGCCACTATAGGGAGTGGACTGACCTGGTCCCCCAGATGGCCCCTACAGCCAACCATTATAGCGTGTATTTTACACGTTATTTCTCAGGACCATCTTTAAACAGAATATACCTCATATTTAGGGGTCAGAGCTGGGCCTATTTACACCCGCTGCCATGGTTACCTAAGAGAATATGGCAGCTATGATTAGAATTGTCATATACTGTGCTGCCATCTATCTTCTTTTGTTGAAGTTATTTCAAGGGGAAAGAATTCATCCGATCTTTATTCATATCTACCTTGTTACATATAGTAAATGAATCAAACATTCTGGTAGTGATAAATGCTCCTGAAACTAACTATGGTAACTAACAATTAGTACACAAGGTTACCATAGAAACATAAGTTAATTATGTTGATGTTTATCTTGCTTGAAGTAACTGTGGTAAGCATGATAGCAGTGATAAATATAATCAGGTTACAGTCTAAACTGTGAAGCTACCCACACCATATACACATCTACCCTGTGTAGCTACCCACACCATGTACACATCTACCCTGTGTAGCTACGCACACCATATAAACATCTACCCTGTGTAGCTACCCACACCATATAAACATCTACCCTGTGTAGCTACGCACACCATATAAACATCTATCCTGTGTAGCTACTCACTCCATATAAACATCTACCCTGTGTAGCTACGCACACCATATAAACATCTATCCTGTGTAGCTACTCACTCCATATAAACATCTACCCTGTGAAGCTACCCACACCATATACACATCTACCCTGTGTAGCTAACATCTACCCTGTGTAGCTACGCACACCATATAAACATCTACCCTGTGTAGCTACCCACACCATATAAACATCTACCCTGTGTAGCTACGCACACCATATAAACATCTATCCTGTGTAGCTACTCACTCCATATAAACATCTACCCTGTGTAGCTACACCATATACACATCTACCCTGTGTAGCTACCCACACCATATAAACATCTACCCTGTGTAGCTACACCATATAAACATCTACCCTGTGTAGCTACCCACACCATATAAACATCTACCCTGTGTAGCTACCCACACCATATACACATCTACCCTGTGTAGCTACCCACACCATATACACATCTACCCTGTGTAGATTCTCAATATACACATCTACCGTGTGTTGCTACACCATATACACATCTACCCTGTGTAGCTACCCACACCATATACACATCTACCCTGTGTAGCTACCCACACCATATACACATCTACCCTGTGTAGCTACACCACCACATACACATGTAGCTACCCATATACACACATGTGTAGCTACCCACACCATATACACATCTACCCTGTGTAGCTACACACATATACACATCTACCCTGTGTAGCTACCCACACCATGTACACATCTACCCTGTGTAGCTACCCACACCATATACACATCTACCCTGTGTAGCTACCCACACCATATACACATCTACCCTGTGTAGCTACCCACACCATATAAACATCTACCCTGTGTAGCTACACCATATAAACATCTACCCTGTGTAGCTACACACACCATATATACACATCTACCCTGTGTAGCTACCCACACCATATAAACATCTACCCTGTGTAGCTACCCACACCATATACACATCTACCCTGTGTAGCTACACCATATAAACATCTACCCTGTGTAGCTACCCACACCATATACACATCTACCCTGTGTAGCTACCCACACCATATACACATCTACCCTGTGTAGCTACCCACACCATATACACATCTACCCTGTGTAGCTACCCACACCATATACACATCTACCCTGTGTAGCTACCCACACCATATACACATCTACCCTGTGTAGCTACCCACACCATATACACATCTACCCTGTGTAGCTACCCACACCATATACACATCTACCCTGTGTAGCTACCCACACCAAATACACATCTACCCTGTGTAGCTACCCACACCATATACACATCTACCCTGTGTAGCTACCCACACCATATACACATCTACCCTGTGTAGCTACCCACACCATATACACATCTACCCTGTGTAGCTACCCACACCATATACACATCTACCCTGTGTAGCTACCCACACCATATACACATCACATACTACCCTGTGTAGCTACCCACACCATATACACATCTACCCTGTGTAGCTACCCACACCATATACACATCTACCCTGTGTAGCTACCCACACCATATACACATCTACCCTGTGTAGCTACCCACACCATATACACATCTACCCTGTGTAGCTACCCACACCATATACACATCTACCCTGTGTAGCTACCCACACCATATACACATCTACCCTGTGTACACACATCATCTACCCTGTGTAGCTACCCACACCATATACACATCTACCCTGTGTAGCTACCCACACCATATACACATCTACCCTGTGTAGCTACCCACACCATATACACATCTACCCTGTGTAGCTACCCACACCATATACACATCTACCCTGTGTAGCTACCCACACCATATACACATCTACCCTGTGTAGCTACCCACACCATATACACATCTACCCTGTGTAGCTACCCACACCATATACACATCTACCCTGTGTAGCTACCCACACCATATACACATCTACCCTGTGTAGCTACCCACACCATATACACATCTACCCTGTGTAGCTACCCACACCATGTACACATCTACCCTGTGTAGCTACCCACACCATATACACATCTACCCTGTGTAGCTACCCACACCATATACACATCTACCCTGTGTAGCTACCCACACCATATACACATCTACCCTGTGTAGCTACCCACACCATATACACATCTACCCTGTGTAGCTACACCATATACACATCTACCCTGTGTAGCTACACCATATACACATCTACCCTGTGTAGCTACACCATATACACATCTACCCTGTGTAGCTACCCACACCATATACACATCTACCCTGTGTAGCTACCCACACCATATAAACATCTACCCTGTGTAGCTACCCACACCATATACACATCTACCCTGTGTAGCTACCCACACCATATAAACATCTACCCTGTGTAGCTACACCATATAAACATCTACCCTGTGTAGCTACACCATATAAACATCTACCCTGTGTAGCTACACCATATAAACATCTACCCTGTGTAGCTACACCATATAAACATCTACCCTGTGTAGCTACCCACACCATATACACATCTACCCTGTGTAGCTACCCACACCATATAAACATCTACCCTGTGTAGCTACCCACACCATATACACATCTACCCTGTGTAGCTACCCACACCATACACCATATACACACATCTACCCTGTGTAGCTACCCACACCATATACACATCTACCCTGTGTAGCTACCCACACCATATACACATCTACCCTGTGTAGCTACCCACACCATATACACATCTACCCTGTGTAGCTACCCACACCATATACACATCTACCCTGTGTAGCTACCCACACCATATACACATCTACCCTGTGTAGCTACCCACACCATATACACATCTACCCTGTGTAGCTACCCACACCATATACACATCTACCCTGTGTAGCTACCCACACCATATACACATCTACCCTGTGTAGCTACCCACACCATATACACATCTACCCTGTGTAGCTACCCACACCATATACACATCTACCCTGTGTAGCTACCCACACCATATACACATCTACCCTGTGTAGCTACCCACACCATATACACATCTACCCTGTGTAGCTACCCACACCATATACACATCTACCCTGTGTAGCTACCCACACCATATACACATCTACCCTGTGTAGCTACGCACACCATATACACATCTACCCTGTGTAGCTACCCACACCATATACACATCTACCCTGTGTAGCTACCCACACCATATACACATCTACCCTGTGTAGCTACCCACACCATGTACACATCTACCCTGTGTAGCTACCCACACCATATACACATCTACCCTGTGTAGCTACCCACACCATATAAACATCTACCCTGTGTAGCTAAACCATGTACACATCTACAGTTCACTGTATGTATAATAGAATCATGTCTAAAGTGAAAAAGTG